CTCCTTCATTTCTCTCAATCGCTTCTCAAATTTTATCTTGCTGCTAGCTTCCCTGCCCTCAAATGATGTCCATCCCATATCACCTTGTACTCCCTGATTTGGCGTATTCCCGTGAGCTCCTAAAGCAAGCCTACCCTATTCCACGTTGCTTAATTTCTAATCTTGCTTGAACTTCTGATCTCATGCACAAGACCGCATTGCCGAACGTCGGCCCAGGAACCATGACTCCTTTCCATATTCCTCTCACAACATCATACCTATTGTAATTCCACAGTGCCCTATTTTTCATCACTGCTGCGTTCCTGTTACCTTTAGTCGTCACGTATATTTCGTGTTTCCTCAGGTACTCGGTCCCATTGCTTATTCATACGCCCAGATATTTGTATTTATCTGTTATCTCTAGAGTGACCTCCTGTATTCTAAGCTCACTACCTTCATTGTCATTAAAAACCATGACTGCTGATTTTTCCTTACTGAATCTGAAATCTAACCTATCTCCCTAATTACCGCAGATGTCCACCAATCTCTGCAAATCTTCCTTGTTATCGGCCATTAGCACTATATCATCTTCGTACATCAATGCTGGTAGTGCGTGTTCAATGAGTTTTCTTTGACGAAAGAGAGGTTGAAGCCCAGTCCACTTCCTTCTAATTTGGCCTCTAATCCTTGTGGGTACATCATGAATAATATGGGTGACAGGGGAATGATGGATGGATGGAGGATGGATGGATGGATGGATGGATGGATGGATGGATGGATGGATGGATGGATGGATGGATGGATGGATGGATGGATGGATGGATGGATGGATGGATGGATGGATGGATGGATGGATGGATATGGCTGTACCCTTTAGATTGGGCGGTGGCTAGCGCCACTAAGCCGTAATACTTAATGAGCCGAAAACTAGATTTTTTTCTTTAAAAAGTGAGTTTGAGGATTCGTACTTTGCAGTGAAGGGTTTAATTTTCACTTGTGCCTTGACTTTAGCCACCAATCAGATAACCTCCTTCTAGTTAAGTCTACCCGTTTAAAGTCTATTTTGCCCTCCCGGGCCCTAAACCCCAGTGCTTTGATAATGATAGGCTTACCAGCGCTGTCTTTGGGTCGGATAAGTTAGTTCACAACGCCACCGCCACCATAATTTTCGTTGCTTGTCAAAGGTACAGATTCCCTTCTCTAAGTTGAAGTTAAGGTCCCTAGATGAAACAAGGTAGCGTCACTCATTGTTCTCGAGCCGTCCTCCTCACTCTCTCGATTACTCCTCTTTTTCTCTGCCATCAGCGTCTGTAATTGGTGCATTACTTGCACGTGATCTTGCAAATGGCTGGTGGTGTTATTTATTATTATGCAAAAGGTTCAAAACGAGTACGTATGCGCATATGGCTCTAGCCGGATTCTCGCCGTGACCAAAGACAAAATCGTAGCCAGAACATAAATTGAAGAGGAGGAGCGTTTCGGTGTGCGCTAAGTCGACCAAGGTTGTTTCGCCATGCTCGTTCAATGCAACATCTGCGTTTTTCAGCAGTGCTGCGTCGCCGTAAAGAACAGAAAATGGTTTCGCTCTCTTCAACCTACCTCGTGCTTTCCGAGATGAAGCGCACCATGAAGTGCAACTATGAACCATTTCACGCGAATGTTTTCGTGCAACTGCGTCAACGTATGTCGACGCGGATCTGCGAAGCGAGTTCACTTGTCGGTTTTTATTGAAACGCCAGGCGCGCGCCTAATGCGTGTCTAGTGCATGCCAGTTGGTACAAATACATGTGGGTATGCACGTATACAGAGCAGCTGTAGGTTGTAAAAACGCACCTTCAGAAACATTTCACTCTTGACCAGTTCCCGCTTGAGCCGAAACGCGCTGCTTCGAGACACCTCACCAGTAGAACTCTCACTTTTCAGGAAGTTCCCAGCACCGCATCAGAATCACTTGGCATCACGATTGTGCAAATGGGCACATTTAAAAAAAAAACGTCATCGCAGTGCTGCTGGACGAGTGTTCGTACCAGTCTGGTCGTAGTTTTTTTTCTTGCGTCTGCACAAGCCAGTTGTAATCAATCGTCACAACGTCACGCCCTGTGGCCACTTACAGGATCCAGCAAGAAGCACGTCCACTGTGTCACAGCACGAACAAAACACAATCGGAGGAGTAAACTAGTTAGAACTGGACGAAATACCGCGGCCGTGGAACTATGGTGGCTATGTACTAGTAGTAGAGAGAGAAGTGGTTATATCAGAAGAAATGAAAAGAAAGGTGCCGACCCGTAACTGTCTCTCCTTACGAGGACACCTCAACAGGTCAGCAGAGGAATGGGATATGGGGAATAAAAGATATAGGGAAAAAGAAGGAGGGATAAAAAGAATAGAAGGAAAATAGACGGAGAAGAAGCCATCCAGCCAACGAGAGAGAAAAAGAAGGAGATAGGAAAGTGGGGATCCGGTCGAAGCAATCCAAGGGCGGGGTGCCACAATGCGAGAGCTGCACGGCTTCAGGAGACCGCGGAGGGCGAACCAGTCGGCGGGAGCTACGCTGAAGTCGGAGATCGCGAGGGCACAACCGTCCAGCTTGAAATCCTGCGAGCGAATGTACTAGTAGTACTACGCGAGACGCCATGGCAAGTGGTGTAAAGTATAGAACTGCACAACGTTGCCGGTTGAGTAACGCGCATCCCGCTTGCTCTTGTGTTGTGCCGTTTATGTTCATAAAGGTAACTGTTTATTCTACGTCTTATTTCGTTCCATTTTGTTTCATTTAAATCTATTCACCGTAGCAACGGAACCCAAACATTCGCTTTTGGATGAAAGTTTTAAACCTTCTAGGGGGCGCTTTAGGAACATAGGAAGTTGACTGGTAAATACTTAGAAAACAGCAGGTGGCCAAACCAAAAAGAACTATTGGTTAAGAAGAAAGTGAAGGAAACGGAGACTGACATGTGGAGAATGGGCATGATTAAGAAGTCCGCACTAGAGATCTATCGAACTTTTAAGCAGGAGATTGCCAAGGAAAGGATCTATGATAATACTCGGGGTAGTTCTCTACTGTTTGAGGCCAGGACGGGAGTACTGCGAGCCAAGACATATCGGGCCAAATACGAAGGGGTAGACACAGTATGCAGTGCGTGTGGAGAGGAAGAAGAAACGGCCGAACACTTGATAATGTTCTGTAAAGGGCTTCACCCTATAGTTCAGGATGATGGCGCAGAGTTTTTCAAAGCACTGGGATTTAGGGACAGCGAGGGCAAAATAGACTTTAAGCGGGTAGACTTAACTAAAAGGAGGTTATCTGATTGGTGGCTAAAGTCAAGGCAAGAGTGAAAATTAAACCCTTCACTGCAAAGTACGAATCCTCAAACTCTTTTTTTAAGGAAAAAAAATATAGTTTTTGGTTCATTAGGTATTACGGCATGGTGGCGCTAGCCACCGCCCGATCTAAAGGGTACAGCCATATCCATCCATCCATCCATCCGAAGAGGAAAGGGAAAGGTGTCGCTACCTTGGAAACTTGTTTCATCTAGGGACCTTAGTTGAAGTGTATTGCCAACACCTCCTAGATTTCCCGTGCCTGTCGGGAGCAGTTGGACTGCTTCGACCGGATCCCCACTTTCCCATCTCCTTCTGTTTACCGTCGCTTGCCTCTCTATTTGTTCATCTATTTCCTTCTATTTTTTTTTATCTCTCCTTACCCCCACCCCTATAAGGCACTGCGCTGTGTCGCCTATAGGCAGACAGAAATTAGGTGCCCTTTTTCTCTTCCTTATAACCACTACCACCACCACCTGCCGGATTATCGGCGGTCACTTGGGAAGCGGCGGTCGTCGGAACTTTGGTGGTGGCGCCACTCAAGTAGGGGTGTTTTCAGATAGGTTTTCATGTTTTTAGAGCCTAAATGCATTATAAATTACGTAAAAAAGTTTTAAAAAGACGTAAACGTAATTATAATTAACCCTACGTTAGTGACGCTGTCATTCAGCAAGCAAATTTTTTAATACAAGGCATCCTCTAAAATTAGTAGCAAATGCCAAAATTGCCAATCTCAAAGGCCAAGTACAACAACCCTTGAATGGATGGATGAATGAATGGATGGATCAATATGGCTGTACTCTTTAAATTGGGCGGTGGCTAGCGCCATCAAGCCGTAATACTTAATGAACCCAAAACTATATTTATTTTTTTCCCTTAAAAAGTGAGTTTGAGGATTCGTACTTTGCAGTGAAGAGTTTAATTTTTACTCGTGCCTTGACTTTAGCCACGAATCAGATAACCTCCTTCCAGTTAAGACTACTTGCTTAAAGTCTATTTTGCCCTCCCGGTCCCTAAAGCCCAGTGCTTTGAAAAACTCTGCGCCATCATCCTGAACTATAGGGTAAAGCCCTTTACAGAACATTATCAAGTGTTTGGCAGTTTTTTCTTCCTCTCCCCACGCACTGCATACTGTGTCTACCCCTTCGTATTTGGCCCGATATGTCTTGGTTCGCAGTACTCCCGTCCTTGCCTCAAACAGTAGAGAACTACCCCGAGTATTATCATAGATCCTTTCCTTGGCAATTTCCTGCTTAAAAGTTCGATAGATCTCTAGTGCGGACTTCTTAATCATGCCAATTTTCCACATGTCAGTCTCCGTTTCCTTCACTTTCTTTTTAACCGATAGTTCTTTTTGGTTTGGCCACCTGCTGTTTTCTAAGTATTTACCAGTCAACTTCCTGGTTCGCTTCCTCCATTTTGTATCGACATTCTTCATGTACAAGTAGCTGAAAACCTTCCTAGCCCAACGCTCCTCCTTCATTTCTCTCAATCGCTTCACAAATTTTATCTTGCTGCTAGCTTCCCTGCCCTCAAATGATGCCCATCCCATATCACCTTGTACTCCCTGATTTGGTGTATTCCCGTGAGCTCCTAAAGCAAGCCTACCTATTCCACGTTGCTTAATTTCTAATCTTGCTTGAACTTCTTATCTCATGCACAAGACCGCATTGCCGAACGTCAGCCTAGGAACCATGACCCCTTTCCATATTCCTCTCACAACATCATACCTATTGTAATTCCACAGTGCCCTATTTTTCTCTACATAGGCAGCGCTGCCATAGATGACCGGTGTTTCGCGCTCATCCGGCAGGCACAAGAAATCTAGGAGGCGTTGCTATGGTGCACATGTGGTCAACAAAATAATGCTGGGGCTTATCTGTGGGCTTATTTTGTGGCATAAACCACAGAGTACTGGCCACAGAACTGGTAGGTGTTCTGTGGTATTGGTAGGTAGACTGGTAGGCGTTCGTCTAAACCGCAGATAATGCACTGCGAATCGCGCACACCGGGTTGGTTTGACAGCGTCCACGTAGAGGGGCGTTTCGTTGGTTTCGTTTCTGTGATCACTCTTAACTAGGTGTCTTTTCACACATCGGGGATTTGCCGTGTGATTGTAGACGTTGCGATGCCTTCGTTGAAGAAGCCAACGTTCGGCGCCCAGACGTTTTTCGCCTCGAGTCATGCGAGGGACACCTGTGGCATGAACGGATTACCGCTCACTCCGAACTCGATCAGGGTGCTCGGACTCTTTCAGCGTCTCAAATGCCTGTCTCACAAGAACCTCTGCGCATACCTCGACGCATTTCGTAGCAAACACGGTAGTACATTTACTCCTCTCTTTGTATGAATGTTACAAAATCATATACGTTTTCTTCTTTGTCGCTAGAGAGACTCGTTGTCGTCATTGAACACTTCAAAAATTCTTTGCAAGACGAAATTCCGAAGAAGCTGCCGTAAGTGTAGCGATTCTCCCCTCTATTTGAGCTGTGGACAATGTGGCATACGTGTTTTCAGAGTTGACACCTTCAGCAGAATATGCCGAGAAGTTCTGGAAGCACTGGACTACCTGCACGCAAGAGGCATCATGCACCGGGCTCTCTCTCCGTGCTCCGTACTTCTCGATGACAAGGTATGATTAGGATCTGCTTTGTTCCTGATGAAAGAGAAAGAACGACACATAAAGCGCTACGAAATGTAATTGATCGCAGCTAGGCAACGGTATAGAGAACTAGAACATGATCTATAATGGCGCGACCGGCAGAACGCGGCTGCTGCCTCTGCGGTCTAAAACGACACCGATGGCCGCTAGGATTTCTCGCGGCGCCGCTGCGTCTTTTCATGTAATGTGCGCGAGGCGAGCGTGCGCCGGCGGCGTCTTCTCTGGATAGCGTGGGCAGCGCGGAGTCAATCAGTGCGTGTGTATGTGTGTGAGTTTGGCACGTTGAGTCACCGCCACCTGATGAAACTTCGTCAATGCCTGGAAGCTCTACCGCATATGTCAACAGGCTGACGACGCTGGTTGCGTTGTGCCCTGTAGTGGCACTCAACGCAACCGGCGCCGGCATTCGGCGGCGCGTACGCAGCGGGGTTGCAGTCCCTGCTGCATTACTGCGCTTCGACGAGAAACGACAAATGTTGCATCATTCTCTTTGTGCTGTCGGGCTCTTCAGAGTTTTGATATGGGCTGCTTGTGGTTGTGCTCGTTAATGAGTGACCAGATTGCGAGCAGCTGCGGTGCCGAGGAAGGTTGTGTACACATTTCTGTGGAAACTGTGAATCTGTGCCGCGAGTGTATGTATTTGTATTTCTGACTTACCAAGGCACGCGGAAGGCATAAATACAGGCTATCCTAAGGGATAGTGTCAGCCCAACAACATATGAAAAAGTGAATATGCTGCTTTTCTATCGTTTCGTGTATTGTGTTAAATTTAGTACCGTGTTATTCCATGTCACTTTTATCCCATGCGCGCATGGAATATTTATGGTATTGGCCTTAGCCAATACCATAAACGGGAAGCATAATGCTGTCGTTTTCTTGTCATTCGCAGGTGTTCGAAATAATTTTTAGCCCAAGTGATATAGACGAGAGGGTCAGCGACGGCCGGAAGGCAATCCTAGCACACACGAGACGCACTTTTTATTCCTCTGGTCCATGTGCGTGCTGCTCAACAAGCGTTCTTGCGTTACACGTACCACACTCTTGTGGGCCGCGGGCCCCGTAACAGAGCGAAGCTGACGAGCGTCTCTTGCAGGCCGGATTATTGCATTTCCAGTTCTAACAAGCTACTCTACTGCATGTGTGCCAGTGCAATCTTTTGCATTCTCCCATCTGTACCAGGGTAGAGTCTGTACTTTGTGAGATATCCCACACCAACAAACATGTAGCTCGCGACATGTCGAAGTGGAGAACGGATTTTCATTGCTTTGCTCCGGGCTGCCCAATTGGTAACCGGGGCGCTCCGAAGTTATCGCTGTTCGGTGCTCCCAGGTATGATGATCTCCGCAGAAAGTGGGAGCGCAACCTCTGGAGGGCTGACAAGCCTCTGACTGAAACTTCAGTGGTGTGCGAAAATCATTTCGAGCCAAGATACATCCTGCGCAAATATGGGCACATGATAAACCGCAGTGAAGTGTGCATTACTCAAGGAAAATCATCACTGGTTCCTGATGCCGTGCCATCGCTTTTGCCAGGTTGTCCACATAGTAACTGACCTCGTAGTTTTACGTTTGCATGAACCAGAAAGCTAACGCGCGTTAGAAGTAACCACATCCGCAGCTCTGCAGCAATCCGCAACGGCCCAACAACTCGGCCGAAGCTGGCATGAAAAGTAGCAGCGGCGCCACCTGGCGGCATCCGCGTTAAAGCTGACGCCGGAGCCCAGCCAGTCGCACCACTATATCACATTCTAGTTCACTATAGCATTGTTTAAAAAAGTAAACCTGGCTAGCGCATGCGTAGTGTGCATCGTCACAAGTACGCGGAGAAAAAAAAAAATCATGACCGTGAAAGAATTTCAAATAATGAAAATTGAGCAAAATTCTCCACAGTAAACTCGTCAGCAAGATGAGGTTTCCTGTACAGGTTTGTCAGTGAATCATAAACATCTTTTATATAGTGCAGGGAAACACATAGACACGACAAGGCACACAAAGACACCACGCAGAGTTACTAGCAGCAAGTTTATTAAAAAAAAAATGCGGACCACTTAAATAATACCATCACTAGGCAGAAAGTTGAACATGTGGAGTCGCTGAAAACATTCTTGAAGAATACCATTCATTTTTAGCAAATTCACGATAAAAATGAATCATGTAAATTAGCGCTTGAGCTAAAACCTCAACTCCTTAGTGGACAATGCTAAAGATGATTTGCTAAAACCCAGATCACGTAGTGAATCGATAAGTTCGCTTCTACAATCAGACGTGTGATCTTTTATTTTTGTCCACTTGCAATAACTGGCTCTTGAAACAAAGCACGGCAACCACACACATTAACCTGGAGTGCAAGCAACCCTTCAGGTGCGAGTTTATTTGACTTTCTCTCTGCTCTCTCAGTCGATCAGAATGGCCTATTTGTGAAGTTGCCCGATATCATTGACAGCAAAATCGCAGAAGTATCGTCATATTCTGCCTACAAAAGTGGTTGTCTCGCAAGGCAGGTATCCCACCCCTAATTTTTTTTTTTTTTTTTCGGGAAGAAAATTATTAGAAGTAGTCTGCAGTACTGCCTTGAGTTTAAATTGGTGCTGTCTAATCACAGCTATTTGAGAAGCTGCTGTTGCTTAAAAGCAAATAACACAACAACCTTGTGACTCATAGAACCTGTGTCTAGAATAAATGTATGCTATTTCTCAATCGGTAAAAAAAAAACCGAAGTAGCACCAACCATGCCCTTTCGCCTCTCCTCCTCTCTCAGCAGCTGCAGCAGCACCCCTAGAGCATCAAGCTGGAAACTACAGACACAGGCTTACTCTTTCCCGGCACACAAGGGAGGGTAAGCTGGTGTCACCATGGAAACAAACGAAAACGTGGTCAAGGCAGATAAGATCGTGCTTGCACTACGAAGGCTACCAAGCACGGGGAGAGGAGGAGCCCACAAACTGATGCGAATGGGCTTTACGATTCTCGAGTAAATATTGCTGCCATCTTGTGGATGACATGCAATCTAAGCTGTAGACGAGCGCTTCTCGTCCTGAACGCTACAAGGCAGCATGTATTATGCTAGGACAAGCTCTGCTCATCCAAAGCACTTGAAAGGTTAAGGTGCCATATCAGGGATAATGATGCTGTGTTAACATATGAATCTTGCTTCCGAAGAACTATGCGAGCTTCTGCAACCAGCCGTGCGAATGCTTGGCTATAGCTCTCAAGTACCTTGCATGAAGGCAAGTCCTGTGAACATCTGCATTTACCACATTCCAAGGCCAAATTGCATTCTCGCTTGTAGTTTATATTATTTGAATGTTCTCTCAGTCACCTGTTTAGGCACCCCTCCTCTGGCCAATGTAAGTACAACCGCAAGACAGGGGGCCTCATACTCTACTCACAGCATACTTCAAAAATGGGCTTGCATGCTTTGTGCCACATGCAGCCTTCTTGGGTCCTTCTCTTTTGATAAGTCCGCAAACCCTGTCCTGCTTGTTGGGGGCTGAAATTCTTCGGCATTCTAACTCCTTTCATTTCAGTTACAAGTCAAGCTTGCCAACTACGGATTGTGCCACATGACTGAGAATGGCAGGACTGTACCTTTTCCACTGGGGTGAGCAGAGCATGTTTCGCTTTTGTGTTTGGGTTACCATCTGCATTCATGATATTCAGGACACCAAAATACCTTGCCCCTGAAATCTTGACTCAAGAGAGGTCGTTGGGACCGAAAGCTGACATTTGGTCGCTGGGTGTCATCACCTTGGAGTTGGCTCTGGTACGAATCCTTTCTTTTTCTTTTCTTTTTAAAGTGTTTCTTCATTCTCAAAAATTCCCCAGCATAGCCCAAAATAATTAAATTACAACAGAGGAGCTACAATACTGGGGGAGATTTCTGATGGAGGCGGAAATGTCGCAGGCCCGTGTGCTCAGATTTGGGTGCACGTTAAAGAACCCCAGGTGGTCAAAATTTCCGGAGTCCTCCACTACGGCGTCTCTCATAATCATATGGTGGTTTTGGGACGTTAAACCCCACAAATCAATCAATACTGGGGAAGAGGTTGGGGAAGAAAACATTTTCATTGAAACAGCAGAAATTTGACAGAATTTGCATGGAGATTCTTCTTGGCTCAGTTTTGTCTGATTTTGAACTGGGGATCACTTCATCCCAGTGTTGGAAGTGTGTTCAAAAGAACTAGTTCTTTTTGGGAGGAATGGAAGAACACCACTGTTATGTTCAGGATTGGTGGAACTGTAATGGTAACTCGTTACTTTTAGCAAGGAACAGCAGAGAGAACAATGCCACTTTTGTAAACAATCCGCAGCATTGAACAGGTGCACTCAAGCGGCACAGCATGCAGAAGAAGATGGATGGGCGACCGCGTGAGGCATAAAAAAAAAATGTACCGCTCACCTCTCACATCACTGGGAGGCGTCCCAGTTTTTGTTTCAAGGCACCTGCCAGAATTCGAGAACACCCCCTTTTTTTTGTTACAACAAAGCGGTTATGCTCAAGGTTTGCCATCTGTCATATATACAAGCACTCTCTCTGTCTTGTCGACCTATTTTGTTCCGCTCTCAGAACATGTGCGCTGATTTGTTCTGTGGGAGATGCAATAACTTTGATGGGTGAGAGAATGCCTACAGAGAGATAGAGAGAAAAGTAGAAATAAGAAGAGAGAAATTCTTGGTGCAAAAGAAAAAATTGTTGTGAGGCAAGATTAAAATCTGCATATCAACGACCTGAAGGTGAGCACGCTTACTTGGCTATGTAGCTTTTGTTTTTATTTGATGGCACTTATTCAACATAGGTATGACACTTGGAAGCAATTTAATACAGACAGAAAGCCAGCCCCGCCATGGTGGTTTAGTGGCTAAGGTACGCGTCCGCTGACCCACAGGTCACGGGATCGAATGCCGGCTGCAGCGGCAGCATTTTCGATGGAGGGGAAAACGCTGTAGGCCCGTGTGCTCAGGTTTAGGTACAGGTTAAAGAACTCCAGGTGATCAAAATTTCCAGAGCCCTCCACTACGGCGTCTCTCATAATTATAGGCAGTTTTGGGACATTAAACCCCACATATCAATCAATCAATCAATACAAAGAACTAACATGTTCATTCTGCTCATATTGTGGCACACTGATGAACACATAGCACTGAAGAATTAGCATTTAACTTTATATAGAGCGAATACATTAAGGGGGCAGACTGATCTTAGACATTTTTTTGTTTGTTTCTTCAGTGCTCTTGATCAAACTGCACAGGATTATGCATTTTTTTTGTTGAATTGAAATATTTAAATAGTTTTCCTGTAAGTCATCTTGTTCCTGAGATAACTTAAGTTCACCCCCTATTGTTTAGGACCACCATAGAAAAAAAGTGCTTAATTAAAAGTGATGTTTAAAATATGCCAATATAGAGGAATGACTATAGATGGAAAGCATACAAGAGTTTTTTTTTTGTTTAGGTCTTTCTTGGTTATTTTACAGCAAAATGAACTATTTATTTTCAAAAGCAGTTGAAATTGTGTTACAACTTTGATGAGTAATTAATTAAAAAGGCTTGGACTCTCAATCCTGCTCCCATACTTGCATTCTACCCACATACAGGTTTCCATTGCAAAAAGAATTATTGTTGGGCCAGTCCTAGCAGCAGAAATATTGAGGCCTCTAAATTGAAATGTTGTCAATTTACTTTTTTGAGAAAAATGGAAAAAAACTGAAAACACACACCTTCTTCAAAAAAGCAGCAATCATGGTGCGCATGTTTTGCAATCTTTATAAATGTTCTCATAAATTCGTAGCAGAGCTTCTAACACAGGTGCCCGCAAATTATAAAGCAGCGTCGAAGTCGGTTCCCCATATTTATGCTGGTTCTGCATGTTAACAGCACCAAGAATCTGGACAGTTAGAATGACATTACAAAAAGATTACCACTTCCTGGCATGTGAAAATTCGCAGAGATATAGAAAAATACTTGCAGAAACCAATTATGTCACTCTTAAAAAATGAATTTTTTTGTCAGTTTTTGGTCCCAAAAACCAGTCTGCCCCCTTAAGTAACGGCCTTTTCCAACTATACACGGCAGTGGCGGTAAAGATAAACACATCGCCAATGCAAGGTACCATTCTGGCTGACTTTCCATTTACTCGTATGCATCTGTAGCGAGAGGCAGAGAAACCTGAGGACCCTCTGCACGTTATTTCCCATGGCCAAAGCACAGCGGCGTCAGCTGCCGGTGTCCGAAGCGCCAGGCATAAGAACTATAGTTTTGTTTTATCTTGCACCTTGAGCTCTCAGCATGAGAGGCGCAGCGCAGTGGTTGAAAAGCAACGGTGATGATGAACGGGAAAATGAAGATGCTGCACATCTGTTAGTTGAGTGAGCATCCTAATGATGAAGCTGTTGAGAAAACTAATGGATCTGCACTTCTCTTCAATATGTGCACACGTTAGCAGAGCATATCACAGCATAGACTCGTGTAGTATAGTATATGGCAAGTACGTGGGAAAAGGAGGTTGGTATGAAGAGGAGGGGAGAACTAGTATAGAGAGAGAGAAAGATGAAAAAATAATTGCAAAAACTAGAGAAGGCCAGAGAATGAGAGTGCAGAGGGATAGACAGAGAAGGAAATAGATATGAAATAGAGAAACAAAAAAAGTGGCAGAAAGAAGAAAGAGCAATAATGGTAGAAAGACAGAGAAAGAAATATGCACAAATATGTTCACTAACTGCAGATAGGGAGCTTTACTAAGTTGCAAATATGTATCCTGCTTATCATTTTCTACTCATACTGAAATATTAAATGAGTACTCATTAAATGCTCAAGCATTGTTTCTCTCGATGCAGTTTCTAGTGCAATAAGATAATTGGATTATTTCCTAGGTGAAGGTATCCATTTCAATATTTGAAGTGCATGGGTGTCGGCAGGGGGGCGCAATCTCTGCCAGAACTTGCCATACCCAAGTTATGCCAGTGCTCTCCTTGAAGGGCAGTATCCTGATTACCCAGTTGAAGACAGATGAGAAAAGTGTCACATGTGTTCAACATGCAATAGACGAGCATGTAAGTTAAAACTAGACATGTCTGTAGCATGGCCGGTGGTCCCTAAAAAGTTCATCTAGGAGTGTTTATTTCAATGTTTTATCCACATATAACATGCTGTCGCATTATCAAATTCATATAATATATGTAGCTACATAGAGGTGAGCTTGAAGTTGCTTGCTTTATTTCTTCTGGGGAATATTTGACACATTTATCAAAAGTGAAATCTATTAGTAATGTAACAACACATTCCAATATTTTAAATGTAACTAACATGTTCCTTTCTTACTAAAGGAACTTCTAACGGGAAGTCATTCGAAAACTGGTAAGGTGTTATGTAAAAAGGTTCGGGGAGCAGGCTTTGTTAGTTGCGTGTGATACTCTGGTTAGTACCACAAGGAAGAGGTAGTAATCGCACTGCACACAAACATGTATTCCATCACACAAAAGCAAAAGTTGACAAGACGCACAGTACAACTGCATAAGATGAACGCTCACAGTTTCTGATGGGGTGAAATGGTCATGGCGTGGTCCCTCACAGACCGTTCGACATGAGGTGGCAGATGACTTTGTCTGGTTCGTGTGCTGTTTTGGAAATCCCTCGAACGTTGGTACCCAACCAGATTTCTCTGACCGATGTTGACCTCCTGAATGTTCACGCTGAGCCCGGCCAATGCGGCTTCTGTGCTTGGGATCCTTGCTTCCTCTCTTCAGCCATCGTGGCCTGTTCTATTTCTGCTCCTTTTTTTCTTTTCTGTCCATGCAGCATGTGCAGCACAGCGTCTAGCGTGCAAGACCAATCCTGCATTTGGGCGTGTGCTTTCGTGCCTCCATAGCCACTTCGTCGTCCTCATCTTCGTTGCATCGATGCACTGCACTGCACTTAGCCCCCATTTCGAGAAGTGCTCAGGGAGAACACTTTGTTTTGAAATCACATACTAGGGCATTGTTCCATGGAAACGCTATCACACACAAACAACAAGAGATACACACCCGTCGTGATTGCCATTCATGAGTCACTCATTGTTGATACAAAGTTAGTTAACACAAACACTGTGTGCAAAAGTTGTTAGAAGACTAAAATATTTTGTGCTTAAGTATGATCGCATTCAGGATCACGTGAACTGCGAATCAGGTAGTCGGCATCCACATTAGTTGCTCCGGATATATAACGTTCAAAAAAGTCATCCTGTCAGCAGCAAGCTCCAACAGAAAATGCACATATTGAAAACCTTGTTTTGAGTTTATGTATTGTAGAGATTCCTGGTCTGCTTCTATTATGAAGTGACGACCATACAAGACTACATGAGATTTCTTGATTGTCTATACCGCTGCTAGACAGCGGTATAGTTGCAACAGCTTTCGACTGGCGTACATTACTGAATGTAATATTGCGTCATGTTTAAAAAGCATGCTCATGTGTAAAATTAGGGCCCTTTCACAATCGTTCTTGGGAAAGCACGCTTTTCACTCAATCAAAAGCAACTTGATGTTGACTTGTTCACACAAGTCGATTGGGAGCACATTTCTATACCAGCTCAGGTCAAAGGGTGTTGGATATTGTGTGCGGCGCTGACATAAAGATGAAGAAGGGTAGTGGGGTCGAGACAGGACGAGTGGGCTGAGTTTTGGGTATGTTCGAATAAAGAAGAGGTCGATGGTGGGCTTCGCTATGAGGACAGCGGCTGTCCCTTTCTCTACGTCATTTTGGTGCCGCGAAATAGAGGAGGAAAAG